TGTTACGAGGATCGAATTATTTTTACTGAATCTGTCACGCAATCCCAGACTTTTCTAGAATTATCTATAATCTGTAATATTCCAGAAACTTCTTTCATGTGACTCAGCAGTTTCCAAAAATAGTACAACTTGTAATACGCTATAAATAGTAATAGAACATTCTAGATAACTAAAGTAAATGTATAAAAGCTGGCTTGTGAGAAGTACAAAAGAGATTTGCCCGAGGGCTTACCCTCGTGGCTTGCTGACTGAACTTTTGGAAGCTATGATATGACGAGGCTATGACCTTTTGACCTTGCGATATCCGGAGAGAAGAAAGAGATGAAAAAGACGATAGTCGAGAGAGGAAGAAGATAGAGAATACAGAGTTTACTATGGAGTCCTCCGGAAGAGTTTGTGTACAAGGAAAGAATGCGATAAATCAAGAAAGCCAAGCGCTGTGGTCTTCAGTCGGCGGATGTTGGAATTGGAAGTTGATCAAGACGACGAACACTTACACGGCATGAAGGATTGTAAGCCTGCTTTATGAACTGCTTAACTTAATCTCTAACCTAAGTAGATTAAACAGTGTAAAACTAATTAAATAATCGTTAAAATGGGTAACTGCTTCTTGTTACATTTTTGTTGCGTGCCATATATCGTACTTGGGAGTCTATTTTCATATATGCTAAATGTGAGCGGACATTTGTTGGTCATTCGTGCACTTAACACAGTGCAGTCAATTGCTATATAATCAGCCTATCAGACCTGTATTGTACTGTGTACAGCTGCCCACTTTTGAAACGTCAGCTTTTGTAATCATTACGGTGGCCAATATACCATTTCAACTTTGTTGATATATCCAAACTTATAGACACACATACACACACACTTTTGAAAGTCTAAGGAATTGACTTGGGCACATGAGCAACTGCAAATCCTGTATTCACTAGTCAGCTGCTTCACAAAAAAGTTAAGAGGAGGATAGAGGCTATGAAGGACTTTCATAGTCCTACTGAAACTAAGAAAATGACATCACTTTCTGAGTGAAAATGCACTGTTGTATGCACATCCAAATTCAATTTAAAACTTCCAAAAAGATACTACTAACTTAAATTTGAAGCTGGTTGGCCTTACCTGAAGCTTTCACAGTCAAAAACACTACACCCTTGGCTACAACAAAAATGTGTATGCTGTGCAATAACATTCTGTGTGATCGAAGAATGTTCACAGCTCTGCAGTTCTTCATGAAATAGCACATGCTCTATCTCCTTTTTCACCTGCAGAGTAATTAACATACAAATCTATCATAAGTTTTTCTTCAAACAGTTACTTGTAATGTATTGTACAGTGAGTACTTTGATGAACCAGAAACAAAATTACTATTTCCTCTGTTTTTTTTTTTTTTTTTTTTTTTCGATTACCCTTGGCTATACTTGACATATTTTAAAGTGTTAGTAACAACTTACATTCATGCATTTTTGATTGTTATGACAAACAGAACTGGAACAATGAGATGGATGTTAAACTTCTTGAGGGAAGATGAATATGAATCCCATAGCATTTTAGCTCACATGGGCACTAACAAACAGAAATCAAGGCAGCACTAGGTTGACCTTTGACTAACTCCAGTATTTCTTGTAGAATCATCTTTTACTTAATCTTTAAGGATGAACAACTAGACAGAAGGATGGCCATTTCACATTAGATCAAAACTCGCCAGTTTCTGCAATTGTGTTAAGTTTCCTTTAACACTATCATACGCTCTTCATATCTATTTAAGAACGCAATTAATTTTGAAATTAATTCAAATTGAATTAGTCTCTGATAGCAATACATTTTTATCATAAAATGTACCAACTAGAAGCTTCAGTCAGTTTTTTTTTTGGTTAAAATAATTTACCTCAGTAGGTACTAACACAATGACTCAACAACTACCTTTCCAATTGTGGTCATGTGGGTTCCTTCCTCTCCAAAGCAGCAAAATTGCTCTGCATTATCGATGATAGATGACAAGAACATCTGGAGGCCCGATTGATCTGTAGTCACTGTGGTAAGATTTTCCCTCATTTTTTTTACTCTTGGACAATTTTTCTCTTCATCTAGAGATCTTTTCCTTTCATTTCTGCCTGCTGTGTCAGTCTTTTGTTTTCCTAGGAAATACCACTGTGGATACTCCTTTTCGTTGCCTTCATCTCTATCAGCATTTCCCTTTCCCCCAAAGCAACCACCACTGCTGCTTCCACCAGAACTACTACTATCACTTCCAGAACTACCACTATCACTTCCAGAGCTACTACTGCAGCCATCACTGGTACCATTGCTGCTCTCTCCACTATGAACTCGAGAGTCTCTTGGTTCACTCAAGTTGGAGTTGGGTCTTCTCCTCTTGGCTGGTGCAGGTGCTATGTGGAGGATAGATTCAATGATCTCTTCAAAGGAAAGACATGGCTGTTTTGGAGCACATTTCCTGATGTTTCTTAGTTTTCTATCTTTGACTGTTTTGCATGTTTTCTCTACCTGCTTGTGGTGCACCGCAGAGAGATCAGGCACTATGATAGACCTAGCATTTCCTTTTACTCTTTTACCAGCTTGCCTAAAGGTTAAAATAAATATTCACAAATGATTAGAAGTGGAAAAATACCAGTTATATTTAATAACACAAAACCCAATACCATTCACAATACTTGAGGGATTTAAAATGAATTAGGATTAATGTCAGTATCTGAGCAACTGCACACCCACCCCTCCCCTAACCCAAAGTTAACCCTAACTTGTTATCAGTTGACTATTGTTTGGGGTAGGGGCATGGTTGCTTAGTTACTGGCATTGATCCATAAATTACACCTGTTGAGACATCAAATTCTAGTACAGCACACCAGTATACTACTGCTACAAATCAAATTACACTCTTATTGATGGATTCCATATGGAAAACCAAGGAAAGATTCAAACCTTCTGGGAATATTTATGTGCTTTGATTCAGTTTTGACAAACTGTCCAGCTTCTTCAATTTTCACTTCTGCTGTTTCATCATTTATTCCCTCTTTCACAGAGATGTCATCTTGAACCTCCAGACCTTCAAATGAAGCAGAAGGGGGTTCCAGTGAGAACAAATCATCTGGACAGATGGAACACTCTAGTACTGAATGTGGGATCATCACAGTGTTGAATTTTAACTCATCTTTTGCCTCTGCTCCTGTGGAAATAAGATTTGCATTGCTAAAGAACGATGTTGACCTGGACAAGGACTTTGATAAATCAGAGTAACTTTCCAGGCACAGTGGATAAGAGGGTGTATAGGACAATTAGAAAATATGCACTCTTATGGGAGTTTCAAAACAAGCCTGGGACTGCCTCAGTTCTGCTGACTACTTGATGATATGTTACCAGTTACTTTTGTCAAAATAATTACCTATTTTCCGTTATCGACCTTTTCACAATCACCTACATTTACAGAGTCTGACTCCTACTTCATAACATTTAGAAACAACTGCTCTTACACAACTACCCTCTTTTTTCCTTTCCATGATTTCTTATCTTGTGTTACTTATCTTAAAAGTTATGTAACTAATCTCTTGGCACATGCATCATCAGAGACGGAGATAACCAACAGAAGACACAAAGTATATAGATTGAATAGATTTGAATTTTCATTTTTCTGTTAATCCAATCATGCATGTATTCTCACAAGACACTAAGAAACTGGAAAAGGAATCAATGTCAAACAACATAAATAATTGATGCACACAAGGGAACAAAGACAGCCTTTGCATGGCAATTAATGCAAATAATTGCTGCATAGACATTGAAACCAGATAAGGAAAACTGAGAGGGAGTCCAGTGTTGTGCAACTGTGAAATCCAGAGTGCCCAGCATATACTTTTTTGAAAAAACTAAAATTCCCGAGTTTTCCAAGAGCAAAAGTAAGGCGCCAAAGGCTAGCGGGCGCTGCTAGACCACAGCCCCTGCAGATGTTATCGTCATTAACACTTCCTGTCTAATCAAGTCGCACGACTGAAAAGGGTACGCAGGAATCAACTACAATCTACACACTGCGAATTCTGTCTGAATTAGCCCTGATCTTGGCAAGAGTACCATATAACCCCATACATTAATTATGCATTCAGACTAGTAGACTTTGTTTTTAAAGTTTGTCGTGAAAGACAAAGAAGTGGAATCTATAATTAATGTATGGGGTTATATGGTACTCTTTCCATGATCTCTCTTCATTTCCCTTAATAGTTTTTGCATTCGGATGTAATCGATGGGTTACAGTTACCACAGAACATCTACGGTTGTACACGCACAACTTAGTGACCTGATAGCGATGCCACATAACCGAGGAGAAATTGTTGACACGCAACCACGACAAAGGTAAACAATCTCAAAAAACGTGGTATTTCGCGACCTTCGCCACTTTAATCAAAGAATAAACGTTCTGAAGCTCTAACAAAAGTTTCGTAGCAATTTAAACAAAAAAGCGGAGGATTTCAAACTACGTAAAGCACAAGAATTTCTTTCGAAAACAAGTCAACGCTTCCTACACTGGTTGGAAAAGCACTTCTGTGTTATCTCACTTCTAGATAAACTTACTTACCTGTCTTAAAATCCTTCAAGTCGAGCTTTTTCGTCGTTTCCTTTTCGCTTCTGTTTTCAGCGTCTGGTGGTAAGAGGGTAATTTCCTCTTTCTGCTGCCACCAAAATAAAAAGGAATGGCTGTTGCCATTCTCTACGGCTTCTTTAGAATTCTTTTTCTCCACTTCGATTGCGACTCGCTGTTCTACTGTCCTTTTAGGCCTAGGATCTTCGTCTTGACCTGAAAAAACGCCAGGCCACGTTTCCAAATTAAAAGCGTCGAGATTGGCGCAGCTTCCGAGAAAGGGAGTCTTCCTTTCTTCTGTTAATGGCCTCCAGTCAAAAGTCATTTCATGAAAAGACGCTTACAGGGCCCATCCATGAAGGCGAAAAAAGCATAAATGAGTCGATTAATATTTCATGTAACTTCAGTGAGATATTCAGACCGATGTATACTTTAGCCTCAGAGCTTCGTAACCCTCCTAGGTTTTGTCCTTCTCATGTCAAATCATTGACCACAAACACAGTGTAGTCTGCCTGTGCTTCGACTCCAACAGAATACCATTTACATTTATTTATTTCTCCGTACCTTGGCAGATACAGGGTGAAATATAAAGTAAAAGACATAGAGTTTTCAAGGAAAGAACACCTACAATACAAAATTATACCAATTAAATATAGTCAACGAAAAAGAAGCGGTTTTTAAAAACAATTAACGATAAAAATTGCGATAAAACATTTCGTAAAAGCATATTAAAAATTTGTTGACGTTTCATCGTTTGGCTAACGTCCTCAAGTCAAAGAGTGAAAGATAAAAAATGTTTAAGTGCTACAAAGACAATAGATAGGTAATGGAATGTTCTTTTAAACAAAGAATTTTGCGCGAATGGAATCAGTCTGCGTTTTGAGACTAGGATTGCGCACAGGTCACCCAAGCTCTGTCACAGGCTCTTTCACAGTGAATAATTAAAGAGTTTCTATAGTGGTTTAGTTGGACTTGCTTTTGAGCTCCGTAAATGTAAAGTTGTGTGAAATAATCAAAGAAATAAAGTCTTACCTTCGTAGAGAGTAGTCTGTGTTGTTCTCCTCGCGATTTGAGGCCGTTTTGATGTGTTTTAGCTTGACGCCCTAAATTACCGTGCATAAAATACGGGAAGGTCGGAAACTTCTGTTGACACATGCTCGCCAAAATCGCTCGAAAACAACACTTAAATACTTTCCCTCGAATCAAAACTCGGCAGCACGAAAGCCAAATAGTTGCCCTTTAAGTTCACCGAAAAAAATCCCACAAAAGTCGGTTTGTCGAGCAACCAATCCAGCGAGAATTTCAAATTAACGGCCGTTCGGAATTCTTCTAATGCGTGGAAGGAACTTCTTGTGCAGCTGAGAGACCGTTAATGCGCGGTCAACCTGGAACCTAGTCAAATCTCTCTCAACGGGTCCTCCCCATAGTCTTCTAACACCAACTCTTCACACATACTAAGGTACCCCGGGTAAACTCATCGACTTGACTAGATCGTCGATACTGTCCATCTTCACTGTTTTCAATGGATTTTTACAAATATCCTCTTACCCGGGGTACCTTAGTATGTGTGAAGAGTTGGTGTTAGAAGACTATGGGGAGGACCCGTTGAGAGAGATTTGACTAGGTTCCAGGTTGACCGCGCATTANATTAATTCCACAGAAAAGACTAGATGCACACGGCCGCCAGCTGCGCTCCAGCAATAACTTGACTCTTTTTAAATGTAGGACAAAACGATTTCAAATAAGTTTTTTCCCGCAATGACGTCAAAGCTTAATGAATTATCGCAACAGACTTATATCACATTTGTAATAATTTGTTAATAGAATCTTGTGAGCCGGTAATCCAGTCCCCCGGCAAAATTTTTAATTATATAGTCTCATTTAATTTGTAAATATTTTTCGTAATTTCTTGTGAATATTGAAGTATTTCATTTTAGTGCCGAATTCATATCTAATAAGCCATTACCATTACCATTACCATTACCAAGATATTGAGAATGAGGGAGATGAGAGTGACCAAACTATCGCAGAACACGATCGTTCCCTATCCAGAAATCTTGCAGGGTTTAATCTAAAAGTTGATAAAGTGGCAAGAGATGGAGACTGCGCTTTTCGAAGCGTAGCTCGCATGTTATGTCCTATCTGTAACCCAGAACAGCCCGAGATATTAAATTATCTGAAGTCCGTTGGTCTTTGTAAATCTGAAGATGAAGACACAATTACCATGCGTCAGTTGTTTGTGGAAGAAATAATGAAATTTGACGAAGAACTTCTAGCTTTCTTTCCAAATGAAGATCGAGAGGCATTTGTCGAAAGGGCGCAGGAATTCAGGAGACAAGGTACGTTTGATACAGCTATTGGAGAGCCAAATGCCCCTGTTTTGCAGCTGGTTAGGGATGCAAAGGTTGCAAGTGCTATAATTGCCAGAACAGCCTTGGGATAAACAGTCTCGACCCCAGCGAAAGAGAAAGGCCAGCAAGGATAAAAGAAAATCCGTGCTCTCGACCCCACCTTCAATTAAAAGGCGTCGAGGAACTTAATATTTAAGAGAAAACACTGCTGAAAATATTGCGGGATGGAGTCAGCTTGAGAGCTGCCTACTAGATATGATGGAGTCATTTCTTTTGTCTTTAAACTTAACATCCACGAAAGAAAACATTTGTATTTTGTATAACTATGTTATAGAAAATGCTTCTCCCAAACATAAAGCCTTGGATTTAAGCAAAACATCCCTTGCACAAGTTAGCGGAAAGCTTGAATACAAGAAAAGACGAGCGGAGGCTTTATGGCGGCTGGCGAGTGCAAGATCGGAAAATGAGTAACATATCAATAACACGAGTTTAATTAAGATTTTATACTTTTCTTCATGAATTGCTGCTAAATTGCTCAGCACAGGACAAGCAATCCGAGAAATGAACAATTATTGTTGTAGATCCATTATCAAAATTCACTAGTTATTTCCATAACTTCTCAGCTTGCAATTGAAGAAAAGATAATTTTCAGGTTTATCGCTAAATTTTCATTGAAAATATATTTCGGTTTAGTTACTTCCACTTCTCAGTCTTCAGCGCTTTTACACGCAAAAAGATAAAGTTAAAAATAGAATAAATATTACAACGTATGATGTAGGATACACTTCAAAACTGTTGCCAAGATTATTCCACCGTTGTTTAATAAAAGGGTTTGGCACCCGCAGAATATTTTTTAGTTTAAATGCGATTTTTATGATTAGTTAATACTTATCAATATATGCACATCAACACAAGATGATAAACCCATACCACTTTACGGCACGAATTACACTTCTTCTATCTACTACACATCATATGCTTATGACACCTACTACATTCACTAAAATTTCCACGCTTTACTACCCTTACTACAACTCTACACCCTAGCACTGTATACCTCCGTATAGCTGTGTATAGCCCTGTATAGCTGCGTATAGCCTTGTATAGCTGTGTATAGCCGTGTATAGCTGTATATAGCCGTGTATAGCCTTGTACAGCTGTGTATAGCCTCGTATAGCTGTGTATAGCCCTGTATAGCTGCGTATAGCCTTGTATAGCTGTGTATAGCCGTGTATAGCTGTATATACCCGTGTATAGCCTTGTATAGCTGTGTATAGCCTCGTATAGCTGTGTATAGCCCTGTATAGCTGCGTATAGCCTTGTATAGCTGTGTATAGCCGTGTATAGCTGTATATACCCGTGTATAGCCTTGTATAGCTGTGTATAGCCTCGTATAGCTGTGTATAGCCCTGTATAGCTGCGTATAGCCTTGTATAGCTGTGTATAGCCGTGTATAGCTGTATATACCCGTGTATAGCCTTGTATAGCTGTGTATAGCCTCGTATAGCTGTGTATAGCCCTGTATAGCTGCGTATAGCCTTGTATAGCTGTGTATAGCCGTGTATAGCTGTATATACCCGTGTATAGCCTTGTATAGCTGTGTATAGCCTCGTATAGCTGTGTATAGCCCTGTATAGCTGCGTATAGCCTTGTATAGCTGTGTATAGCCGTGTATAGCTGTATATACCCGTGTATAGCCTTGTATAGCTGTGTATAGCCTCGTATAGCTGTGTATAGCCCTGTATAGCTGCGTATAGCCTTGTATAGCTGTGTATAGCCGTGTATAGCTGTATATACCCGTGTATAGCCTTGTATAGCTGTGTATAGCCTCGTATAGCTGTGTATAGCCCTGTATAGCTGCGTATAGCCTTGTATAGCTGTGTATAGCCGTGTATAGCTGTATATACCCGTGTATAGCCTTGTATAGCTGTGTATAGCCTCGTATAGCTGTGTATAGCCCTGTATAGCTGCGTATAGCCTTGTATAGCTGTGTATAGCCGTGTATAGCTGTATATACCCGTGTATAGCCTTGTATAGCTGTGTATAGCCTCGTATAGCTGTGTATAGCCCTGTATAGCTGCGTATAGCCTTGTATAGCTGTGTATAGCCGTGTATAGCTGTATATACCCGTGTATAGCCTTGTATAGCTGTGTATAGCCTCGTATAGCTGTGTATAGCCCTGTATAGCTGCGTATAGCCTTGTATAGCTGTGTATAGCCGTGTATAGCTGTATATACCCGTGTATAGCCTTGTATAGCTGTGTATAGCCTCGTATAGCTGTGTATAGCCCTGTATAGCTGTGTATAGCCCTGTATAGCTGTGTATAGCCGTGTATAGCTGTGTATAGCCGTGTATAGCTGTGTATAGCCCTGTATAGCTGTGTATAGCTTTGTACAGCTGTGTATAGCTCTGTATAGCTGTGTATAGCCCTGTATAGCTGTGTGTAGCCCTGTATAGCTGTGTATAGCCTTGTATAGCTGTATATAGCCTTGTATAGCTGTTTATAGCCCTGTATAGCTGTGTATAGCCTTGCATAGCAGTGTATAGCCGTGTATAGTTGTGTATAGCCTTGTATAGCTGTGTATAGTCCTGTATAGCTGCGGGTAGCCCTATATAGCTGTGTATAGCCCTGCAGCTGTGTATCGTCCTGTATAGCTGTATAGCCATGCATAGCTGTGTTAGGTTGCATTACACTTAGGCGTACATAAACTATAAGCGTAATATACATATGCAACATATATGGCTGCCTTCCATGAAGTTTTTACCGAACTTCTTGTGCAGCTGAGAGACCGTTAATGCGCGGTCAACCTGGAACCTAGTCAAATCTCTCTTAACGGGTCCTCCCCATAGTCTTCTAATACCAACTCTTCACGCATATTAAGGTACCCCGGGTAAAAGGATATTTGTAAAAATCCATTGAAAGCAGTGAAGATGGACAGTATCGACGATCTAGTCAAGTCGATGAGTTTACCCGGGGTACCTTAGTATGCGTGAAGAGTTGGTATTAGAAGACCTGTGGGATTGCGCTGCTTGATGAAAAGCATCTCATAAACAAGACAGTCAAATTTTCCTTAGCACTTTTTAGAATGCGGAATTGGCTTTCTTTGAGGAGGTTTGTATCCCCATGAGCTGTCGAAAAGTGTTCACCGATCGCAGAGTTTTTATGTTCAACAATACGCTGATGAAGGTATCGAGCTAACAGAGAAAATAGAGCCCTCATTGGAAGATCCCGCCAAGAAAGCATTAGAAAGCTCGACACTACGTTCCATTGCACTTAACTACATTTAACGTACCAGCCCTAATCCACCCAAGGCATTGGTAAAAGCTCTCAATCGTCTAAAGAAACGTGATGACATTGTTATTACAAGACCTGACAAAGGCTCAGGAGTCGTGATGGACAAGGCTGGGTACACACGCCTCTTAAGTGCAGCTTCAATTGATGATTCTTCCAAGCTCTTGCGTGCTGATGAAAAGCGAGCAAAATCCCATTGTCGTCCACCAAAGCACTTTCATCCGCTTCTTAAAGAGGAGAAAGATGTCAACATGATCCTACGTGAAGTGTTACTTCAGAACATCGCCGATTCACTCTCACCGAAGGGTTCCAGACCTGCTCATCTTTGTGGCCTTCTGAAGACCCACAAAGCCAATCTTAGTATGAGGCCGATTTTATCGGAAACAGGAACGTATGACTACAACTTGTCTAAATGGTTGGAAGAAAAACTGAAACCACTCTCCATGAATGATTTTACGATTACCGATGCCATTCGCTTCTCCGAAGAAATCCGCAACTCACCTATCGGCGAAGACGACATACTGGTCCCTTATGATGTCACAGCCCTCTTTACTAACTTTCCTTTAAATGGAACCATCAACATCTTAGTCGAAAAAGCGTTTGTCGATGATTGGTTTAACCAAACTTATGACCTTAACCTGCAAAACGATCAACTCACAAAACTCCTCAAGATCGCCTCTCACCGCTAACCACTGAGCTCTTCCAATTCAATGGCCAACTGTATGAACAAATCGACGGTCTTGCTATGGGTGGGTTCACTCCTTGGCCCTCTAATGGCGAATGTCTTCCTCTGTTATCTTGAGGACAAGCTTACCCACGATGGCGTGATGCCCACCTTATACAAGAGATATGTTGAAGATACCATGGCCAGAATGCCCAACACCGATGCTGGAGTTGAACTTCTCACTATTCTTAATAGCCTCCACCTCAGCCTGTCTTTTACGATGGAGCTTCCTATTCACAACAAGATTTCCTTTATCAGCATCGAAGTAATCAGGAACCGAACATAGATCGACACACTAGTTTATAGAAAGCCAACAAACACTGGCTTGTCGCTGCATTTTAAAAGCTACACAGACAAGCGCTATAAAGATTGCTTGCTCAAAACAATGATCCATCGTTCATATGGTCTATCTTCAACAACTGAAGCCTTCAATCAAGAATGCATTAGACTGCGTTCCATCTTTACTCGACTTGATTATCCCTTGGCAATGATTAATTCTACCGAGATACAATGAATATAAGAAGTTCTTACATTTTGAATTGCGGTATTAGATACGTATGATGCACGATCCTCGCAGTAGATAGCGCTATTTATGCAATAGCGAAAATCAGACCTGAAAAAAATCAGGCCTGTACGGGACTCGAACCACTGACCTCTGCGATACTAGTGCAGCGCTCTACCAATTGAGCTAACAAGCCAACTGGGAGCAGGCCGTTAAGTTGATTCGTAATAAACCCGTGAAAGTGATAAATGAGATACAATGAATATATGAAGTTCATATATTTTGAACTGCGGTATTAGATACGTATGATGCACGATCCTCGCAGTAGATAGCGCTATTTATGCAATAGCGAAAATCAGACCTGAAAAAAATCAGGCCTGTACGGGACTCGAACCACTGATCTCTGCGATACTAGTGCAGCGCTCTACCAATTGAGCTAACAAGCCAACTGGGAGCAGGCCGTTAAGTTGATTCGTAATAAACCCGTGAAAGTGATAAATGAGATACAATGAATATATGAAGTTCATATATTTTGAACTGCGGTATTAGATACGTATGATGCACGATCCTCGCAGTAGATAGCGCTATTTATGCAATAGCGAAAATCAGACCTGAAAAAAATCAGGCCTGTACGGGACTCGAACCACTGACCTCTGCGATACTAGTGCAGCGCTCTACCAATTGAGCTAACAAGCCAACTAGGAGCAGGCCGTTAAGTTGATTCGTAATAAACCCGTGAAAGTGATAAATGAGATACAATGAATATATGAAGTTCATATATTTTGAACTGCGGTATTAGATACGTATGATGCACGATCCTCGCAGTAGATAGCGCTATTTATGCAATAGCGAAAATCAGACCTGAAAAAAATCAGGCCTGTACGGGACTCGAACCACTGACCTCTGCGATACTAGTGCAGCGCTCTACCAATTGAGCTAACAAGCCAACTGGGAGCAGGCCGTTAAGTTGATTCGTAATAAACCCGTGAAAGTGATAAATCAGATACAATGAATATATGAAGTTCATATATTTTGAACTGCGGTATTAGATACGTATGATGCACGATCCTCGCAGTAGATAGCGCTATTTATGCAATAGCGAAAATCAGACCTGAAAAAAATCAGGCCTGTACGGGA